AATGTATTCTCTTTTTAAAGTTAAATAAATTTGAATGCTTAAAGGCCAAATGTTCCATTGGCTATTCAAATCTTCCCCTGGGGAGCTATACAAGTTAAAGAACCTCTCAATAAAAGGTTTAACTCTGCCTATAGCCCATCTGATTAAAGCTAGTCAGGCCACACTTTAGAAATAATAAAGCGAGAACCTCCTTGCTCTTACTTTCCTCCATCAGAAATTGCAGCACAGATCACATGTAAATTAGATTATTCTGGATCAACGGGGCTACTCAATAAGTATTATTCCATGTCCCTACGTATGGCTGAAGGCAGCCACAGCTGCCACCCACTGCCACTCCCATAAGGTAAAGCCAAATGGTTCTACAGCGAGCGAGCCACAGTCCTTATACAGCATCAGAAGCGTGGAGGAATGGGCAAAAATTATGTTCTTACAGAAAATAATCATCTCATTCATTTGTCAGCTAATGCAGAATTTAAGGTTTGTGCACATACAATGAACAAAGAGAAACTATTAAGTGCACACTGCAGAAGATCAGGGAGTGCAGCAAGAACAACAGTTACCAGTAGCTGTGTGATATATCAGAAACATGTCACTTATAAAAGACTGTTTATGTTTTATTCATGCAAAATAACTCAGTGCACAGGTCCTACCATCAGAAAATACACAGCAATGAAAGTATCCATGACAAACAAATGTGCCTAAAAATATTTGCCATAGAAACCATTAAGATCATCAATTCTGAAAAACAGAGAATACTTTACAGGGGGAAAAAAGGATGTTTTGAAAATGATGACCCTGTAACACCCTGATCTGCATGGGGCCTTATACATCAGTTGGAGGGTTATAAATGTTGGATAAACACTGCTGCAGTCCAAGGTGAAAATGTGTTATTTGATCAAAATCTCCATGTTAATTCAAATTTGCTAGGAATATTTCCCTTGAATAAACTTGTATTGACAGAATTTGTCAGAGTAACTTTGAGTTGCCAGAATTCAGCGTGACCTCTCAAAGCCCTTCCAAACATCTCTTTGCTAGACCTTTTCTGGCATGTCCCCTGCTGTTTGATGATTTAGGTCAATGTATCTGGCAGCCACTGTTATTTAAAACAAATTCACATCATTCAGCATCTGCTGGTGCTCTAAAGCAAGATACAAGCTCCATGTAAGCCCTGAGCACGCCAGGGATCTCTTCAACAGTTTTTACACATCATTTTGTAGTTAGGAACCCACAAAGTACCATGGTCAATGTTGTGGCACAGAGACCTTTGTATGGGCACCTCAGGAACCTTAAACAGTGATCAGCCATAGACAGATGACGGTCTACCAGAAGGCCAAGAGACATCCCAATCCCAGCTCTTGTCAATGCTGTGAGGATTTAGGCCATGCCTGGCTAGAGAAGCAGAGTCAAGTCACCAGTGAGCAGCACTTGAGCTGGATAATGAAGGCTAGAGCCTATTGCTAGTTGAGACCTCTTAAACTTGTAGAAAGCAGCAGGAAGTTCCAAGGATGAAGGGAATAAAATGGGCTGGCATCAGCCCAGGTAAAGATATGTACAGAACTGTTTCTCTGAGCACATTTTTGGGTGAGGGAAGGTTATTTTCTGTGCAGATTGTTTCCTGGACCCGCAGCCAGGTGATTGACACACTGCTGTCTGGGCTGTACTGCAGGTGGCCTCACGCCTGCCCCAGCTCTGGGTGGCTGCTGGAGGCAGCCTGTCTCCTCCTGGCCTCTGGAGCAGCCTGGCACCCTGCCCCATGCTCGTGATCACCCCAAACTGGCATAAGGACCTCGCTTCCTCATCCTCTCCCTTCAGCCCTGCCCCTTTGCTTGCCCTTGCACTTTGATCCGTGGTGTGAATCACAGGGTTCCCCTCAGCCTGATTCATTCCTGCAGGTGGGACAAGGCTCCCAAACCAGGCAGAGCTTCCCCCTGTTCCCCCAGACTCCTTCATCCTGCAGCACTTATCCCTTTCCTGCCCCCACATCCCCATACAGGAGTGATGTCCTGCGTTGCCACAGACACCAGGTAGTGGTTTTCAAGGACCAGATGCAGGCACACAACACAAGTTATTCACTTCCACAGTACTTCATTTTTCTCTTGGGAAATTGCTCAGGGAACATCCCACTGCCTGTGCACTGAATAAAGACCAGCTGTACAAAGCAACCTTAGGACACGAGTTACAAAACTGTAACTGAGGTGGCGGCGTGTCCTGGCTTCCTACCACCTTTATTTTGCTGACCTGGCACAGCTTTCCCTTGCTGGAGCATCGCGTTTCCCCCGGAGCACGGCGTTGGCGAGTTACCTCCACCGGCGCTGTCAAAAGGGAACAGAAAATAACCATGGTGAAAGGCCCACGAAGTAAAATCAGGTTTTTTTTCCTGTGATTAAGCTGTCTCCTCCTGGCCTCTGGAGCAGCCTGGCACCCTGCCCCATGCTCGTGATCACCCCAAACTGGCATAAGGACCTCGCTTCCTCATCCTCTCCCTTCAGCCCTGCCCCTTTGCTTGCCCTTGCACTTTGATCTGTGGTGTGAATCACAGGGTTTCCCTCAGCCTGATTCATTCCTGCAGGTGGGACAAGGCTCCCAAACCAGGCAGAGCTTCCCCCTGGTCGCCCAGACTCCTTCATCCTGCAGCACTTATCCCTTTCCTGCCCCCACATCCCCACACAGGAGTGATGCCCCGTGTTGCCACAGACACCGGGTAGTGGTTTTCATGGACCAGATGCAGGCACACAACACAAGTTATTCACTTCCACAGCACTTCATTTTCCTCTGCACTGTTATTTAAAACAAATTCACATCATTCAGCATCTGCTGGTGCTCTAAAGCAAGATACAAGCTCCATGTAAGCCCTGAGCACGCCAGGGATCTCTTCAACAGTTTTTACACATCATTTTGTAGTTAGGAACCCACAAAGTACCATGGTCAATGTTGTGGCACAGAGACCTTTGTATGGGCACCTCAGGAACCTTAAACAGTGATCAGCCATAGACAGATGACGGTCTACCAGAAGGCCAAGAGACATCCCAATCCCAGCTCTTGTCAATGCTGTGAGGATTTAGGCCATGCCTGGCTAGAGAAGCAGAGTCAAGTCACCAGTGAGCAGCACTTGAGCTGGATAATGAAGGCTAGAGCCTATTGCTAGTTGAGACCTCTTAAACTTGTAGAAAGCAGCAGGAAGTTCCAAGGATGAAGGGAATAAAATGGGCTGGCATCAGCCCAGGTAAAGATATGTACAGAACTGTTTCTCTGAGCACATTTTTGGGTGAGGGAAGGTTATTTTCTGTGCAGATTGTTTCCTGGACCCGCAGCCAGGTGATTGACACACTGCTGTCTGGGCTGTACTGCAGGTGGCCTCACGCCTGCCCCAGCTCTGGGTGGCTGCTGGAGGCAGCCTGTCTCCTCCTGGCCTCTGGAGCAGCCTGGCACCCTGCCCCATGCTCGTGATCACCCCAAACTGGCATAAGGACCTCGCTTCCTCATCCTCTCCCTTCAGCCCTGCCCCTTTGCTTGCCCTTGCACTTTGATCCGTGGTGTGAATCACAGGGTTCCCCTCAGCCTGATTCATTCCTGCAGGTGGGACAAGGCTCCCAAACCAGGCAGAGCTTCCCCCTGTTCCCCCAGACTCCTTCATCCTGCAGCACTTATCCCTTTCCTGCCCCCACATCCCCATACAGGAGTGATGTCCTGCGTTGCCACAGACACCAGGTAGTGGTTTTCAAGGACCAGATGCAGGCACACAACACAAGTTATTCACTTCCACAGTACTTCATTTTTCTCTTGGGAAATTGCTCAGGGAACATCCCACTGCCTGTGCACTGAATAAAGACCAGCTGTACAAAGCAACCTTAGGACACGAGTTACAAAACTGTAACTGAGGTGGCGGCGTGTCCTGGCTTCCTACCACCTTTATTTTGCTGACCTGGCACAGCTTTCCCTTGCTGGAGCATCGCGTTTCCCCCGGAGCACGGCGTTGGCGAGTTACCTCCACCGGCGCTGTCAAAAGGGAACAGAAAATAACCATGGTGAAAGGCCCACGAAGTAAAATCAGGTTTTTTTTCCTGTGATTAAGGCAAAAATAGTGTGACCAGCAGAAGTAGGGAGGTGATTGTGCCCCTGTACTCAGCACTGGTGAGGCCACACCTCGAGTATTGTGTCCAGTTTTGGGCACCTCAGTACAAGAGAGATCTGGAGGTGCTGGAGCGAGCGCAGAGGAGGGCAACGAAGCTGGTGAGGGGGCTGGAAAACAAATTGTATGAGGAGCGGCTGAGGGAGTTGGGACTGTTTAGTATGAGGAAGAAGAGGCTGAGGGGAGACCTCATCACTCTCTACAACTACTTGAAAGGACACTGTAGAGAGGTTGGTGCTGGTCTCTTCTCACAGGTAATTAGTGACAGAATGAGAGGGAATGGCTTCAAGCTCCAACAGGGTAGGTTTAGATTGAACATTAGGAAAGAATTTTTCACCGAAAGAGTGGTCGGGCATTGGAACAGGCTGCCCAGGGAGGTGGTGGAGTCACCATCCCTGGCTGTGTTTAAGGGCCGTTTAGATGCAGTGCTAAGGGACATGGTGTAGGGGAGGACTTTGTAGAGTAGGGTAGATGGTTGGACTCGATGATCCCAAGGGTCTCTTCCAACCTAGACGATTCTATGATTCTATGATTCTATGAAACTCAGAGCCTCGGTGGAGACGGGGGCCCACACAACCGCTGGCCGAGCTGCGGCCGAGCTGCGGCCGAGCGCTGACAGAGAAACTCGGGGTGGGGGGAACCCGCCCGCCCTCCCTCAGCTGCGGCGAGGGGCTGCGCCATCCCCTGCCTTTCCCTCTTCCTCGTCCTCCTTCTACCCCCGGGGGCCGGGAACACCCCCCAAACGCGCCCGTGGCCTCACGCTTCCACCCTCCCTGCCCCCGCCGGGAACCGGGCCCAGCCCCGCCCGCGGCCTGATACCGGGGCCGGGCCTGACGCGGTACCGCCTCCCGTCGCCCCGCCCCTGCGCAGGCCCCGGATCCGGGGTTTAGCGCCGGGGCCGTTGCGTCGTACCTGGAGCCTTCGGTCCTGACTCCCCCCCCCCTCCTCTTCGGTCGGCCCGGCTCAGCCCGCGGAGCCCGCGCCGCAGGTTAGATGCAGTGCTAAGGGACATGGTGTAGGGGATGACTTTGTAGAGTAGGATAGATGGTTGGACTCGATGATCCCAAGGGTCTCTTCCAACCTAGACAATTCTAAGATTCTATGAAACTCAGAGCCTCGGTGGAGGCGGGGACCCACACAACCGCGGCCGAGCGCTGACAGAAACTCGGGGTGGGGGGGAACCCGGCCCTGCCCGCCCTCCCTCAGCTGCGGCGAGGGGCTGCGCCATCCCCTGCCTTTCCCTCTTCCTCGTCCTCCTTCTACCCCCGGGGGCCGGGAACACCCCCCAAACGCGCCCGTGGCCTCACGCTTCCACCCTCCCTGCCCCCGCCAGGAACCGGGCCCAGCCCCGCCCGCGGCCTGATACCGGGGCCGGGCCTGACGCGGTACCGCCTCCCGTCGCCCCGCCCCTGCGCAGGCCCCGGATCCGGGGTTTAGCGCCGGGGCCGTTGCGTCGTACCTGGAGCCTTCGGTCCTGACTCCCCCCCCCCTCCTCTTCGGTCGGCGGAGCCCGCGCCGCAGGTGGGGAGAGCCGCGGCGGGGAGCCGGGGGACGGCGGGCCTGGGGTGGGAGCCGGAGCCAGGCCGAGCGCGGCCTTGTCTGTGAGGCCCTGACGGAGCCGGGCGGTGGTTCGTGGGCTTCGGCGAGGCCTGAGCAGGCCCGCGGCGGGGCCTCGCTTACCCTGGGGCGGCTTCCCGCGCCGGGACCCCCCTCTCCCCCCGGTCGAGCGGGTGCCGGGGCCCGCTGGGTGCCGGCCGGCATAGGGGGAGCTCGCCGGGCCTCGGTCTGCGTTCCGGCGGCTGGAAACTTCGCCATGTTTGCCAGAGCAGCCGCCGCGCCGGCCTTGGCGAGGGAGGAAATCCCGTAAATCTCAGGGAGGTTCTTACTCCTGCCTGTTTTGGCAGCGCCGGCTTTGGCCAGCCGGCCCTGTACGGGACAGGGGGTCTCTAAAGGGGGTTCGGGGCAGCGGCGGAGATGGCCCGCCTGCCCCTGCCTTCCCAGCCTTCCCCTGCTGTGAATTCTCTGCTTTGGAGGAGCTTGTAATCTTGGTGTTTAAGGCACAGCTGATAGGGCAGGAGGAGGTTTCCATTCAAAATCTTGTGCTGTTTTGAAATAGAAGTAGGTCTGTAACCTCAAGTTTATACGTTTGCGTGTAAGGGGCAAGAGCGCTGCCCTAACTGTTTGGAGAAGCATAACAATGACTTTACAAAGTTTTGCTGTTTTCATAAACAAAAAGTTTTTTCCCTGAGCCTTGCATTTTTCTGGGGATGTGGTGGTGCTGTGTGCCTGGGACACTGTCTGTGTACTATCCTGTAGCAAGCTGGGGGGCACGGCCTTAAACGAAAGCTGCTTATCACAACATTTTTTTAATTTTCCGAACCCTTTATAACGGATTGTGAATTCAAGGGAGCTCCAGACAAGTCCAAGGAGGCTGGAATGTATACATCACTTACGAGGGAGAGACTGGGTCAAAGCACAGCTGTTGAGGAAGTAGGGTTTGTGGTTTTGGTGACAATATTGAGGCTGATGTGTACGAAGCTGATATATTCTCAGAACTATTAGGGTTCAGCATGTGGGTGCTGGATAAAAGAACAAACTGTTCTCGAGTTTTGGTCAGCTGTATTAAGTACAGTGCTTGGTTGGGGGCTCAAACCATGTGAGAGGAACACATTGCACTTGAAGGTGGGTGTTTTCTCATCTGTAGTTCACAGATGTATCTCTCTTCAGTCTCTGGCGGTAGAACAACAGAATTAAATTCTAATTATAGAAGTCCAAGTACAGCTGCCATTGGAGGAGTATTTTAATTCAGGAGAAGGGTGTGCTCCTGGAATGAGTTCCCAGTCATCCTTTCTTGCTGCACCTTGGGTCACGTCACAGTGTGATCTGGGAGCACGTGAACTCTCCTCCTTTTGGGAGAAGCTAGAACTGGAAGGTGTGCTTTGTTTGTGAGTGGGTGTTGTCAGTCTAGACAAGAGCTAGTCTGAAACAGACACTCAAAACCATGTATAGAGTGGTTGTAGGGTCCTCAGTAACTGTTAAATTAATTTCTACAGAGTTGCTGCTTGTTCTGTGTTTAGTTGTTAGTGTAGGTGTAGGCTGGGCCTACCCTGGGTAGAGCAGGTAAGTTGAGTAGAGTTGTAGCACAACAGCACCAGGGACTGATCCCTCAGTGTTCAGACCTGGATTGGTGACAGCTCTTGCCTAAGCTGTAAGGCTCAAGTTTCAGAGCTTGAAGGCTCTAGGTCAGCTGTAAGGAAAACAGTAAGCAAAAACCCCACGTGGAATAATCCTCAGCTTTGTCGACAGCTTTTTCAGAAATGTTTTTTTCAATAGTTTTTACTTTTTAGTTCAACAGTTTCCCTTATTGAATAGCTCCCAAATTTAGAACATTTAAAAAGTGCTGTAACAGCATAAGGATAAATAGTTTTCCTTCTTGTAAGGGTTGAGTGACTTAAATGAATAGAATAATGCTGTATATTTGCTGAAACAGTAACTGGGACTTGTTGGCATTTGCCTTTCCCCCCCTACATTCACCCAGCCTTTGAGGCAATATAATCAATTAATGTTGTGCTCGTGTTACCATCACCTTATTTAAGATCTTTCTGTTCTGAGTGGTTAGTTTAAAATATTCTGGCTTGTTTTGCTCTCTTAATCTGCCTCTTAGAGCTCCCTTCTCAGTGAAGCAGCATGGTAATTACTGGCAGGTGCTTTAAAAAATGCCACTTACAATGGAAAAACTGTTCCCCAAGATACTGGTGAATTGAGTGGTTTGTGTCTCTGTGTGTTAAGTAACTAAAGTGGGTTATGGGGATAAGCTGGTTGCCACTGCTGTACAGATTATTTAATTTTTAACTTTGAGTTTGTTTTCCACCTGTTGCAAATTAAGGACATTTCCACTTGGATCAGTTCATTATAATCTTTAGTTTCAAGTGGTCTGTGTTTCGGGGCAGTTCCAGTATCACAGCTGAAAAGCCAGAGTCATGAGAAAACTTTAAAATTTGCATAGCTAGCAAAAATGCTTTTGTGAGTAATACTTTTTTTTTTTTTAACAGTCCTTTATAAATGCTATGTATTGCCAGCAGCTATGTTAAAGTAACTCCTATTTTTTTCCTTGACTTTCCTGTGAATCATTCCTCTTTTTGGTTAAAAGGGAATCATTGGTTTTAACACCTGGAGATTTATATATATAGCTTGGCAATGAGTAGCTGATCCTGTGTTCTCAAAACAAGTCCAACCTAAAAAGCTTATTAGAATTGGGTCTATGGTGTGTGGAGAAACCACTGAAAATTGCGAACTTGCTTTCTAGAGCCCCGTCTTGAATTTTTTTATCCCAAGATTAATGCGTTGTGTGAAAGCCTGTACAATAACAGTCCTTTGAAAAGCACTGCTTGACTGTTGTAACCTTTTGCCAGCAACTCTACTGTTGGAATTTAAAAGCCTCTGGTTGATTCCCCTTCAACCTGTGCATTGTGGAGGATCTGAACAAAGCTCCCAGTTAGTTCAGGTTGGGATTGACTCCAGCTTTACGGGTCTTAAGAGATCTGAACAGAGGGCAATGGAAGTTCTTGTTGGAGTAATGACCGTAGGCTAATAGTTACCTGATGGGGAGGGATAAATGCAAGCTGTATTTCATTGTCCCTGAAAACTTTCTTCTGACTCTTATTTTAGACATGGGAAAATCCCTTTCTCACCTGCCTATGCACACGTGCAAGGACGACGGCTACGATGGGGGCACGGTGTCTGATAACATGAGGAACGGGTTGGTTCACTCGGAGTCGCACAACGAGGATGGCAGGTGTGGGGACGTGTCGCAGTTTCCCTACGTGGAATTCACAGGAAGAGACAGCGTCACCTGCCCCACTTGCCAGGGAACAGGAAGAATTCCACGAGGTAACTTTTCTTTATTTCTTTTTTTTTAACTTATAAATCTACCTCATAACCACATGCAGGTGTAACTATAATAAACTGTAACAAATAGCTCTCCTAGTCAAGACACGAGGTAACTTTTCTTTATTTCTTTTTTTAACCTATAAATCTGCCTCATAGCCACATGCAAGTGTAACTATAGTAATCTGTAACAAATAGCTCTCCTAGTCAAGGTGGAGTTTCTTATCTTTTTGACTTTTTAGCACGAAGATTTTGTTATAATTACATCAGATGAATGAAGCAAATTTATTTGTTACCTGTTGGTTCTTCTCCTGTCTGTGCAATGCTAGTGTTCCTTGCTTCTCAGCTTTAAAATCACACATAACCCTAACTCTCGCAAGTTGAATTTTCTAACCTTTATTTTTGTGACATTTTACTGCATTTTTTAACTGCCTATTTTAAACTCGTTGAATCAATATATAACTTGGCAAAAATAGCTGCAAACAGAGAGTAAAAAGTAGACCTGTTGCTACAACACCTTTTCCCTCATCATTTATGGTGAGGTTTTTTTGCCCTTGATTTCCCTTAAACTCCCTCTGTTCCTGCCAGACAGAGGACCCCAGCTGGGAATTGAAAATATACAGGATCTCTGGCTGCCTTGGGAAGGAGTGGGCTGAGCAGAAATTGTTCTTTATGCTGTTTATTTACTTGCTGCTCTCATCCTCTGTTTTTCCTTTTCTTCTAATAAAACATTCTGCTTTATTGCACGCCTACATGGTGAGCTACCTGAGCAGCTGGTTAGAAACAGAGCTCTGAAGGGAGAATGCAGGGTACCTGAAACAGGGTTTCAGGCACAGCCTTCTGCCCCAGCTGTAAGATCTTCCCTTGATGGTGGGGAGGAGCTGATGAGAAGGTTTCACGTTTGGGACTGGTTTTTGAGGGGAGAGGGGAAGAATTTAGTCACACAGTTCTTCTATGAACACTAACAGGGAAGACTGTAACACGTGATGTGATGGATAAACTGTATAATAAACACATGAAAATGCATTTTGTTACTTGGACAGCTTTAGCTTTTCAGTATGATTAAGTAAGAAAGTAGGACTGAGCTGTTTTGTTCAAATGTTGAATATGCTTCATTGAGGTTGAGATGAAAATCTGTTTTGAATAGGTAAGGGTTTTTTTAGAAGGTTGATGTTACAGAAGACTGCCTGCTTTAGTTAGCATGCTTAGCTCAGTGCAGTGATTTGGAATGGAATCACTTCAAAGTGGTTGATTAGCTAAGTGGTAATGCTGGTCAGATTCTGCATTTGGCTTAAAAAATGCAAATTGGACTTGGTCTTGAGGCCTCTCTGTTCAAATAGGGATGTCTGTCAATTCCTTTTTCTTGTATAGCAAAAGCTATAAAGGCAAATGTACTTTCAACAGTTCGTCTGTGCTTGTGTTTTTTATTTCTGCTGTTAAGATATTCCTCTTTTAATAATGCTGACTCATGAAGTAACTTGCTGTTTGGTGAAATCCCAGTAAATACTTTTTTGACTTATAGAATCATATAATGGTTTGAGTTGGAAGGGACCTTAAAGATCATCCAGTTCCAACCCCCCTGCCCTGGGCAGGGACACCTCCCACCAGACCAGGTTGCTCCAAACCCCATCCAGCCTGGCCTTGAACCCCTCCAGGGATGGGGCAGCCACAGCTTCTCTGGGCAACCTGTTCCAGTGTCTCACCACCCTCACAGCAAAGAATTTCTTTCCAGTATCTAACCTAAATTTCCCATCTTTCAATTTAAAACCATCTTCCAGGGTGCTGCAGCTCAGTCCCTTGAGAAATAGTTGTATATACCAGCGGTTCCCAGAATACTTAGATATAGTATAGCTTGTGTTGCCAAAGCCACCCAAATTGATATATGTATTTGTTTTTGAAGAAACCCTGCTTTTAAGCAGAGTAGGTGTAGAACACCTCCTGGATCAGTTCTTACTGCCTGGACTTCGAGTGGTGTTTTCCTACGACTTACATGGTCTGGCAGAGAGAGCTGGATGCTGTTGTACCTCTGTTTCTCTTGAGGACATGGTGCCAGAGGATGCCACCTCCTGTGTGTGTGCTAAATTTCCCATCTTTCAATTTAAAACCATCTTCCAGGGTGCTGCAGCTCAGTCCCTTGAGAAATAGTTGTATATACCAGCGGTTCCCAGAATACTTAGATATAGTATAGCTTGTGTTGCCAAAGCCACCCAAATTGATATATGTATTTGTTTTTGAAGAAACCCTGCTTTTAAGCAGAGTAGGTGTAGAACACCTCCTGGATCAGTTCTTACTGCCTGGACTTCGAGTGGTGTTTTCCTACGACTTACATGGTCTGGCAGAGAGAGCTGGATGCTGTTGTACCTCTGTTTCTCTTGAGGACATGGTGCCAGAGGATGCCACCTCTTCTGTGTGTGCAGCACAGAGGCAGAACTTGTTGCTGTTTTAGTCTTGGTGGGCTTGGTGTTTTTTCCTCCTGGTGTTGTGCAATCTGTGCTCTTATTTCAGAAAGTGACATAAGCTACAGGAGTATTCTACTTGGACCATTATCTGGAATTTAAATGTTTATCTTCAGTGTTTATTCTTTGGTGCCGTTAAGTTACAACGGGCAGTCTTTGTTTGAAGTAGCTGCAACAATACTTAGTCTTTGTTTGTTTAAATTCTGAAAGGGTGTTTTTGTTTCCAGGGCAGGAAAATCAGCTGGTAGCATTAATTCCATACAGTGATCAGAGACTGAGGCCAAGGAGAACGTAAGTTAATAGTTGGTTGTGATACATGAATCTACAGTTAATTCTTTTATTCCAGTTGAAATTCAGCAATTTAAAGGAAGTAATGTTAAGAATCAGTATTGAAAGAACCCTGCTCATGAGTAATACCAGCCTTAATCTTTAACTCTTGGAGAGTTATTTATTAACAGGTGTGCATAGTCCCATCACAGTTTGTCCTACAAAGCTAACTAATACTGTATGATCTCTTCATGGGGAGATTTATTTGAACATCTACAGTAATTATGCAAGTATTTGTCAATCTGTGTAGCATCTTAATTGATCTTAACAGCTCCATCTTCGGTGTTAAAGTCTGATACAGTAATTATGCAAGTATTTGTCAATCTGCGTAGCATCTTAATTGATCTTAACAGCTACATCTTCAGTGTTAAAAGTCTGGATAAAGTGATAAATTCTTTGGGCCACTACTACAAAATAAGTCACCTAGAAATTAATCTGTAAAGCTCTGAGCAGCCAGCAAAATCAACAAATTCATCATTCTGATAGTGCTTTTGTATTTTCCCCTAGGATCTACTTAAAGGTTTAATTACAGTGCTCAGGGCTTCTTGTTCTGACACTTTTTGTTGGTTTTCTTTCTTTCGTGTTTGGATGTTTCTGTAGTAAATAGAAATGAATGCCAGGGGGGAAAAATGCTATAAGTTCACATAATACTATCTCAGATCGTATATCTGATGTAATAGTAGTACAAATTTGAAACATACTGCTTTAGTGTTCTAATTTAGAGAAATTTGGAGCTGCAATACAATAGAGTCTTTTGTTTGTGTCTTATTATCCTACATTCACACCCCTTTAATTGTGAATTTCCTGTTCCTTAGCAGAAGTCTAACACTTTCCCTGGAAGTCTTTTATGACAAAGAATCCTGTGTAAGAGCTTTCTGGGCGTGTTTTGCAAGAGTCTTGCAGAATGACAAAAATTCTGCTATAAATAAATTTTAGGAGGAAGTGCTTGTGTTCCAGAGCGCATAAATATTTACCTCTCCATTTTTCCTTTTTAAGTTATAAATGTTGGGACAACCACGTGTTTGGAACTTGATTTCTGATGTGTGTATACAAGAATAACATCTGTTTGAGATAAGCCCCAACTATGCTGTACTTCACACCTTTTTTCCCCCTTTGGAAGCTGGTGGAAGCTAGAAATAGACTGAACGAGTTGTATTGACTAGTCATTCTTATTACTTAAAAGAAAATTAACATGTTATTTTATTTTTTTTTTTGTCTCCAGAAAGCTCTACGTGACCGCTTCTGTAATTGTATGTTTGCTGCTTTCTGGGCTGGCTGTTTTCTTCTTGTTTCCTCGCTCGATCGACGTTGAGTACATTGGAGTGAAGTCAGTGTATGTCACTTACGAACAGGGTAGACGTATAATTTATCTAAATATCACGGTGAGTCTGGCTCTCTGTTTGTTTGGATGTTTGTAATGGATAAATGCAATAAGAGATACTACTGTGATGGTTTAATATGCACAGAAATTGTGCCTTGCTGGTAAACTTGGTTAGTGCTTTAAGAAGCATAAGCAGATACAATGACTGCTTTGAAAAATGTAACTGGACCTGCTGGAGCTGGTTCCTGCAGCTGCAGCTAATAGAGGTGTAGTTGCAACCTGCCACTGGGTCTTCTGTTTTCATGAGAACAGTGACTTTGTGGTTCTCTGCTTTATTTTTGGAGTATGAGTGAAATGTAGTGTGTGTATGTAGGAATGTAATTAAATGCTGTCCTGGTATTAGGCATCTGTCAGAATCGGTTCTAAGGAAAAATAATTTCTTATCCAGCTTAAAACTTCAAGGAGTTCTTTTCATGTGCTGCTTGGTAATGCAGTCAACAGAGGATTGATTAAGGACTTCTCGTAGAGTTTGTCATTTTAAATGAAGCAAAGCAGCCATGGGAGAAAAGGGTCCTGTGATGGCTAAATTTCCTGGGAGGAATAATTGAGGATAGGGAGAAATGCAGTATTTGCAGTGGAGGGTGGTCACCAGGGAAGTTGTGCCAGAAGTTTGTGCTGCTCAAATATTCACCAAAAAATCTGAGAAGGAGGTAAAGGGATGGTCCCTTCCACCCTGCCTTCCCAGTCCTAGAAGGCAGAAAAATATACTTGCATAATTTCAGGTATTACTGTCTCAGGCACAAATTTCAAAACGTATGCTCGTCAAGATGCACAGAACAGATAGCTGTTACTCTTTTGTGGTTGTTTGTGTTTGGTTTTTTTCAGAACACACTAAATATAACAAACAACAACTATTATTCTGTTGAAGTGGCAAATATCACGGCCCAAGTTCAGTTTTCCAAAACAGTTATTGGCAAAGCACGGCTAAACAACATCACCAACATTGGTCCTCTGGATATGAAACAGGTAAATAGGACAGGCTTTCAAAGTTGAATACCTGTTAATCTTCACATATAAATCTACTCATTTGTGGGTTTTGTGGTTTTTTTTCAGATTGACTATATGGTGCCCACAGTCATACAGGATGAAATGAGCTACATGTTGTAAGTGTGCTCACCTCTAAATATCACGTGGGTCTTATTAAAAAATTACGATGGTGCAAAACCTGACTTTTCAAAGTGAGCAGAAATGCATTTGCAGAGATGTTGTGGCATTTTCTTTGTGTGATAGCATTGGGGGTTGTACAGTGGGTCACTTTTCAGCGTTTCCCCAGCTAATCAATTTAGGTTTTGTGTTAGCCATTACTAGTTAATTGTTTGGATCCTGGAGAGTCCTGTAAAATCAGCTTAGATTGAATACAGGAAAAAAATCAATATATTTATCCCTACTATAGATACCAATAGAAAACATCTTTTAATACCAAATTGGCTTATTTGTATTTTCATATAATTTGGATCACCTGTGTTTATTCACTGTTTAACACTTCGGCAGATGTTTGTTGGTGCTGTGAAAAAAATGACAAGGGCATGCAAATATTGTGGGTGGCTGTCATCCAACCTTGTTGCACTGGTCACATACCTTTCGTTCCAGAGCTGAAAAATGTGTGATCAAGAGCAATTGATTTAAGGAGGGGTGGAAAAGTGTATAGACTTACTTAGTGCTCTGTATAACTGGTATGAGGGTGCATGTCAGAAAATGGCAGTTTGAAGAGGTATCGTGCAAGAAAATAACTCTGACAATTACTTGAAAATCTCTGCAGAGTGGTTAAGGGTCACTGCATAATGCAGAAGGGGATGAGTGCAAAAAAAAAAAGTGAGTCTACAGTCACAGGCAGTGGTTTTGAAGTATTTTAGTTGCCATTGCTACCAGCTCTGTAGTCTCTATATACACAGGTAGCAGAATTGCCAGCTGAACCCACAATTCTTGCTTTTTAGTTAATTGCCTGTGAAAGCTTGATGCAAATCTAACAATTGTTTTTCTTTTTTGCAGTGACTTCTGTACTTTAGCCTCTATCAAAGTGCATAACATAGTAGTGATGATGCAGTAAGTATGGAAACTTCCTAGTCTTTGAAAACAACTTTAAAAACCATGTAGTTCTTGTCAAAATATTATTCAGAAATGCTTAATCCTGGAGTCTGTTCATCCTAGATAAATGAACTCAGCTTGCTTTCTGGTGTAGAGGCTTCACAGTTCTTGAAACTGAACTCAGTCTTCTGTCAGATGAGTGTCTGTAAAGACACCTGAATGAGCAGAACTGTTATTACTCCACCTGCTCTGCAGCTGGGCCGTAGCCATGGAGCTGTTGAGTTCTCAAATGCTTTGAAATGAGTTGGTGTGTCAGCCACTGCTCAAAAATTGCTGAGATCTTCGTGATCTTGAAGTGGTTACAGGCTCCTGGAGTTCTGCCAGAGCCGCTTCTCGTGACTGATTGCATGAACAGCAGCACGGTGGGGTTTGTTTGGGGACTAAGGGGGAAGATTTGTAGACTGATCATGGCAGTAACTTCCTCTAATCATCTCTTGCTTTCTCCTTGCAAAGTGAAGTAATAACAAGTGAACCTCAGCTTTACCATCTTCTTTAGGAAAAAAGAGTGTGTGCTCAGGTTTGATGGAGAAAATCTGTTGTGGAAAACTAGTATTGTTTTTAACTTTATTTAAAAGTTGCTTAATAATATTACATGTTTTATTCCAAAACTCTTTCCTTAAAAACCCTAGTAACGTAGAAACACTGGTCTTTAGAATAGGGAACTGAAGTCCTTTACAAACCAAATCTCTCTTCTGTTTTGTCTTTTGAAGAGTGACAGTGACAACCTCTTACTTTGGCCACTCTGAGCAAATATCCCAGGAGAGATACCAGTATGTGGACTGTGGAGGAAACACAACCTACCAGCTGGGCCAGTCAGAATATTTAAATGTCCTGCAGCCTCCTCAGTAAAGGCGCCGGTCGGGTCGGTGTGGAGCGACTGCTCTTGCTGCTTGCTGAGATCCTTTGGACAGGACTGGTACTACCTGAAGGGGAGAGCACGTGCATGTGAAGCCTAACGAACACGGTGACCCCTTCACTTTAGATACAAGGAGGGAAAAGGTGCAAAAATGTACATAGATGCACTCGTTAAATGTCGTGTTTTCCCCTTCTGTTTGTTTTCTGTTCCCGTGAGCACTTCTGTCGAGCGGCGTGGTGGGAGGGAGAGGGGGAATAGCAGATTCTTGAACAGAATCCAGGACCTTTCCTTACAGTGTGGTACATCAGCTTAGAGTAACTGTGTGTATGTCTGTGTGCAGGTGAAATGTGTCACTAATGAGCATTTTTAGAAAAAAAACCTGATACTCGTAAACTTTTAAGTTTATATTTCAGTTCTTGGTATTTGACAAACTGGCAGTATTACTACTTCAGTAACACGATTAAATTGAGGTCTTTGGGTACGAAACTTCTAATAGCAAACCAGTGGCAATAGCTCTTTATTTTGGAATTCTAATTTTCATTTGTTGTACGTGGTTAGAAGTGACATGTGAAAGCCAGGACAGCTCTCTTGGATGACACTATACTTGAAAGTGCAATTTCTAGAATCTGGCATCTTTTCATTCGTATTCCCTCCTGCTACCTCTGGGATGTTATAAGGAGAATGTATGTTATTAGATTTAAAGTTGTGTTTAAAAACAAAACAAAACCCCAAAATCATTACTGAAAAAAGGAAAAATTCAAGATTGTAGAAGGTGAATGGGTAAAAAAAACTTTGATGTTGTCATTCTGCTTTGTTTTTTAGTAAACTTTTGAGTTCAGCTATAAAAATCAAGATTGTGCAGTTTGAACTAGGTGCGAAAGTGAGCATGGTTTTGGGCAGCTTGATGTAAATTTTCATAATTTTTATTGTTTTAATATACTGCGTGTCTAAACTGCTTGTCAGTGTTCATACGTCGGGGTGTGTATATCTAGTGTGCAGGCTCCGTACGCAACGCAGTAGTTACTGAATCTCCAGAGCACTCTCAGTTCACATCAAAAATTATGTAAAGGAAGGATAAAGCAATTTTTTCTGTAAGAGTGAATGCTGATGTAATCATGAGACTGACTTATTAACAAAGCTATTAAATAGTTTTGGTAGGATAGTTTTGCACAGGGGGAATTTTCGGGGTTATCACCAAACACGGTGATTTGTAAATTTGGTGTCCAAAGTTGCTTGACTTCTGAAGGCTGACTGTTGGAAGGGTTAAGTACAAAACTTTTTAACTCAATCACAATTGTTTTATTTCTGAATTAGATAAAATGCAGCTGTAAGAAGATACTGTTGAGACTGTTGCGTTGTAATGAATAATATAACTTTTAAAATAGATGTTGCGGTTTTTACGCTGCCCATCTCCTGAAAATAAGCTATATATGAAATGAATTGGCAATAAACACTATGGAAAAAGGCTGCTGAGTAACTTCTTGCAACTAACTATCTCTTACACTCCAGTGCTTCAGTGAAGATACATGTCTATATTACTCTTTCTTTTTTTTTTCTTTACTGGCCTTTCTTAGATGGGGCTAATTGTGTTGGGGGGAGGGAAATGTCAATTATGTAAGACTTATTTAAAAGAAACGAAGTACCAGTACAAAAAACCCACCCCTCCTCTCTTTGAGTTGCTGTGAGCCCTTATTCTGAACATCCATGACAAATTATGGAACCGAAACTGTCAGTTTCATACAGTTGTTGATAAGGTGAAGATGTCAGTGTTTGGCTTTAGAGCACTTCTGGAACTGGACTAGTCAATTCTGATGACTTATTGTAGTTCTGTTCTGTTATAATATGAAAATTACTCTTCAATCTGGGCGCTTAAAAGTGAACATCCTTTCTTACAGCTTGCAATCACAAAGGAAATTAAGTGACTGTAATCTTCCTGAAGTGTAGATGAGGTTCAGTCCTGTGGCTCATGGTCTGAGAAGGTACAGGTGGTAACTAAAGGCTGAATTCTGGTTTAAATCATATCAGATCTGAAGTCAGCCAGCAAGTGATAGGAATTTTTTCTTCTAGGCCTAAGTATTTACACCTAGAGTGCTGGAGTTTTTTGTTGGGTGGTGTGTTTTTTTTTTAAGTAGAAAAAGAAGAAAACGCCTCTAGGTAGGTACTCATATCAACTTAAATTTTTCTCCACAAGGTGATCTAAAAACTGGAATGGCACAATGATAAGGTTAATTGGGGAGAGTAGTGAATGCTGCTGGAAGGAGCATGGCAGGGGGAGGTTACAGTTAAACACTGTGGGACTCAAACTGACCTTGGAGAGTTTGGCAGACATCCCGAGTAAAATCCCCACTTTAATCTGTGGGTCTTGCGTTGCATAAAATGCTTGGTATTGGCTAATTTAAAATAAAGATGCCTGGAATAATTCTTTCTATGTATGTGGCAGAAGGGGGAAGACACAACTTTTAATGTCTATCACCTGGGATATCTGATGGATGTAAACTGTAACACCATCAATTTGTAGTTAGACTTACTGAATGACTAAGAGTTCTCATCTTAAAAAAACAGAGTGGGGTAAAGATCCTATTGATGAATCCTCAAATGAAGTCAGGCACAGGAGAATCAAAGGCTTAAGGTTCCACATGTGCTAGTATGTCCTGGCAAAACTGTCAGCATATTACTAACCCAACAAGGCAAATACATGAATTTACTCATTTTAATGTAACATCTCATGAGATGAGCAGGTCAGCATCTGTTTGAATGCTCAACTTAGACTTGATTTATGTGGCAGAGCTTGGAACACGCTAAGGGAGCAGGGGGTGTCAGTATTGGTGTGGATGACTTTGTAAACATGAGAATAGGTTCAAGTGACAGATCTGCAATTACTTCACTTTTAGATTTTTATCTTGATTTAAAAATAAAAAAGGCAAGCCTTTCAGTTCACTGTATATCAATAAGTACAACTTTTCTCCCCGAAGGTCAACTTGAAGAATTGTAATTTTCTTTTTCTGGTTTGTTTTCCTGCGTGTAAGATGGTCTCTGAAGGACAACTTCTGAAGCGACTTCACTTCTAACTTCCCCATAAGCTATCAAACACATACATACAGGTGTTGTAGTGGTGTTTTTCAAGGGTTTTATTTATAGTATAATTCTTTTCACTTGACTTCTTTGTAGCAATTCCTGTACCAAAACCTGTTGCACTTTAAAATGGAAGCTTTGTTAGTTATCTCTTAAAACAATGGTCCAAATGTTGCACTGTAATGACATCACTTAAAATCAAAACTTAATGTATTCTGCATAGAATAACTAAAATGCCACAACTATGATTTAAGGTAACTGTAATGACATCACTTAAAATCAAAACTTGATATATTCTGCATAGAATAACTAAAATTCCACAATTATGATTTAAGGTAAATTAATGTAGAATACTTAAATGCATAAAAATGTTGGCGATTTGGCCGTTCTTAACCTGGAGAACAACATTCTTTTGTATTTTAAATCTGATGCTTTGAAAACAAATGAATAAAGTCACTGAACAAAGATCAAAGATCTAACCATCAGGTATCTGTTTGGAGAGATTTAAAGGGAAGATGATGCTCCTGAATTCCTGTTGTGGGGAAAAAGCCTGTAGAAGCTCATTCATAATCTGTTCACTCATCTTAGTATTTAGGAGGTGGTTGCTTAATTCTTTATCTTTTGTGAAGACGAGCATAACTTTTTCCTGTGTGGTGCAGCTTTGAAGTACTTAATGCACTTCCGATGTGTGTGTGTGACCTTGATATTAACTTTGTGGTATTTATATTTTGCAGCCTTACGTTGGCAGACTTAAATACACGCCTTAGTTGACTTTGCTCCAAATTGTCCTTGAAGTTCTGCGAGTGCATAAATTTTTGCGCAGTCGTACGTTGCCAACGCCACCCCGGGCTTTTTAGTGCGTGGTGTATCAAGGTAACCCTTTAAACACTGAACCTCCAGGTGCTTGGATTGCACTGTTAAGGTCTTTAACCATCTGACTTGGACAGTTGTGCCCTCTTGATGGCAAGGGTGGTGGTCACAGCGCTGTGTGAAAGAGTTCTAGATTCAGAAAATGATAAATTGTATTATTTCTTATTCAGCATTTAAGGCTTCCATGTGTTTTTTCCCTTTTTTCCTTTTTTTTTTTTTTTTTTTTGGTGGGGATGAGGTGGTTAGTTGTGATTTTGCTTTTCTTTCCACCACCCCAACTCTATAGTGGGACATCTATCTGTTCCCAGGCAGCATCTTCTGAAATCCATGACTTGTTCCAGCTACGTTGAAGCTTAACGTCAGTTGGGCTGGACTTGAAGAGATAAGTAAGACTAGCATTAATACCTCTGAGAAGTAAATCCATTTTACTTGCCTGTCTTGACAAAAATGCCACAACCCAGGTGATGCTGCCAGCCTTCATACTGCTTCTGGAAGGGAAGGAGAAGGAATGGAAGTGCAACCAATGTACTTCAATAATGGGCTACTGCAGCCAGCAGAATGTTTGTTAGTGTTGGCCTCCCTCGTGCCAAAAAATCTAGATTTTTTTTATTTTTTTTTTTGGAACTTTGCGGGGCAAGAAATAAAACCCAACCAAAACATGTGGAAAACAAGAATTTGGGTATGATAAAAGCATCCAGTGTTTGTCTGCTTGAGAAGTCGGTTTTACCGTTAGCTGGGGAGCTCCAGTCGTTAGCAGAGGGGTGGTTTGGGGTGGTTTGTTCTGCTGCCCTACACATTTTTTGTCATATAAAGCTGCTTTTCAGCCCATAGGCAGGGCTGTTGGACAGGAGCAGTGGTCTGCAAGGATTCTGGACAGTTAAAGTGGTGCTGGACCATTTGGTGGCTCTACCAGACAGCTCCTTGTGCTGTCCTCTCGCACCAGCCGTCACAAGGGTCTTGCCACCTGGATGCACGTGTCTTTTGGGTACTGAAACTGCTTTTACTCTGTACAGGCAGGGATAATTAGTGCCAGACACACAAGTATGTTACGGTGCCTGAATATTTAGGGTCTGACTGTCAGTGATTTAGTTCTTTTTCTCGTTTTATTTAAGGAAGCAGCCTTTAACCACTGTTGACATCCACTGTACAGAGTGTGCATATGATAGCTTGAGATATGTATAGAAATACTAATGAGTGATAACTATTTTTGTAATTTAAGAATTGTAAACCGTTGTTCTTGTACCTGTGTAGCAAACAATCTATCAGCTTAAGCATGATAAATACTATAAGTCAAGGGGTGTTTGGGGACGACTTGTAGGACATGGAAGCTATCTTCATGTAAGTTAACTGGGGCAAGGGATCTCGTTATCTCGAGGTTCACAACCTGGAGTTAACTTCAGTGGGAATGTGTTTCCAGACAGGATTGTTTGACTCAAAGAATGAGATTAAATTTTCTATTAAGAAAAAAGCTTGGGTCACGTATCTCTCTTTTTAAACTGACTTAATATTTTTCTCTCCTCTTTTCCTATCTGCCACAAGCTTTCCCCCTCTTTCCCCCTATTTTTCCCACCAGCCTTCATGTATTTTCAATGGTATGATTTCAAGTTTTGTAACTATTGGCATTCCATGATGTAAAAACTTTGCAATCTACTTTTTTTTTTTAAATATATATATTGTGTTTTATTTTGTTAAGTCCCTAATAAACTAGAGTATCTGAAAGCTGAGCACCAAGTGTGAATGAATTGCTGTTGCCTGACTGGAGTACTCAAGTGAGTGAGTTAAAAACCTGGGCTGCTGTGATGGGCTGATGTTTTTCCTCCTGGTGGGATGGTGGAGAGAATTGGGAGGGCAAAAGTGTGAAAACTCATGGGTCAAGATAAAGGCAGTTTAATGTGGGAGCAAAGCTGTGTGTGCAAGCAAAGCAGAATAAGGAATTTATTTCCCATCAGCAGACGGGTGTTTATGAGGGGAAGACAAAACCATAAGCCTGAATGTCCCTCTTTCCTATGCCTATTGTATATTCATGATCTCTACATTGGTTTTCTGATATGTGGAGGGTTGATGTTGGTTTGTTTCAGCTTGTGGGTCTCCAAACGTACTTATTTTTTTTAAAAAAACCTACATTTAGATGAGAAAATTAGTCACACTTGCTATTTTCGTTCTCTAACAGTCCCTTTCCTTTCCCAGAGTCGTCCGTTGTAAGTGTTGCCCAAACTTTCCTATTTGGACAAGGTCTTTATTGAACGCTGTAAATTGGAGAACAATAACCTTTTAAGCAGTATTTCACTACATACAAATAAAAGTTTGAAGACAGGTGAAGAGCTGCCTCTTTCATTCTGCCCGTCTGGGGATGGGAAGGCAAAAGCCTGTCTTCAGCAGTGAATGGTTTTATTTGATCCAAATCCTTCAAGCTCTGTGGTTTGGATTCCTCTCCTGGTGTTTCCCCATCGGAGAAGACAGATTTCAGGCATGGCCTTGTCTGTCCAGAGAGCCTGAAAGGATGGAAAAGGAACACACTGACACA